AAGTTGCTTCCAGTCCACCGGCGTTGCGTTTCGCAGACGGCGAATCTCGTCGTGTTGACACAACGGCGACTTGCATTAGCCGCCGTTGTTCCCGGACAATGGCGACGACGTGAACCTCTAATGACCAATCCTTCACCGCCCCCCCTCCCCCGTCGCGAGTTTCTCGCCTTTTGAGCCGGGCGACGAATTCCTGGCCACCACAAATGAATCGTGCCTCACAAGTTTCCGCGGGCGAAGCAATTCAAGAGTAACGATCTTCCGTCTTTTCGTCCTTGTCTCTGGCAGGTCGGCTGCAGAGGGGACCGAAAACTCGGTGCCGCTTGACAAAAGCCCGTTCCCGTCGCCGCAGACTCCATTAGGCCATTATTTCCATTATTTCAATGAAAGCTACTGGAGAACGTCGACCGATCGACTGTGAAATGTGGTTTGTTGCAATCCACTGTGCAGCTGGGCACAGACCTTCATGTATGACGCTGTAATCACTCGATAATTAACTGCTAGTTTCCGTGACGCTGCAAAGTCTGCCACCATGTATAATTTTTAAGTGTTTAATTAGGACTATTCTTTTCAACGTGCTCATCCGGTGACGACGGCAAAGTTCGCAAGTGGCCAACAGTCGTCCATCATTGACAATCGTTGCATGATTCACAGTCAATATGCCACACAGTACTTGTTCATATTCTTATGGTAATAAACACCTACTTTCATAACTTATTTCCGCATGCAACAGGAAGATGAACGGCATATAACGTCTCTTAGGCGATTTCGCTACTTCTAATGATCGTAGCAGTTAATATATGTTAGATACATGGATTCTCGAAATTTCAAGTATTCCATGAAGCTAGACAAGAAAATGCTTCTTTCTTCTTTCAGCACGAATGACACTTGCCTTTAGCAATGTCGGTGACTTGTTCGATATTTACAGTACTTCCTCGCATAAGATCCGCCGGCTTCAGGCCTCTCCTGCTAGATCAATATAGGTGTATGGCATGGACAACTCTGTTCCTATAGAATTCTTGATCGATGGTTGGACAGTGCAATGACGGCAAAATGATAAAACCATGAAAGCCTAATAGCGCCTTTACTCCCTCTCGAGTACAGGTGTAAGGATAAGACCGAGGAGGCTGGTTTGACGGTAAAATTAATTCAGAACTTCATCTTGCCAAATTCTCCTTTAAGAACCTATTTCAGAGGTAAACCAGGAGGTAAGCAGCAAAATGGACGAATAAGATGGAAACGAATTCAGATGATGTTTTTCCTCTCATATGGTATCCGTGACTTTATGGTCATGGTGTTAAAACATGGAAGATGGAGGGCGTATCACAACTCAGAGATTTTCTACTACAGTTCAACTTAAAATGATCACCACAAACGTATACCGGCGTTGGGCAGTACAGTGGACACAGAAATCGCGTACTTTTTTGGAGAAGTGAGGGGCGCAGTGACAAAGTGGCAAAAAAGCTGGCCTTAAATTCTAGAGGTGCCGGATTTCAACAAATAGAAAGGACAATTGTCTCTACCACGAATTTCGTTGATAATGGAATTTTCCTTCAAACTGCTTCATTGCAATTAGCCGAGAAAGAGGTAGCAAATTGTTGACTTGCGAATAAAACAGACAACATGGTATTTTGGTATGGATATACCAAAATGGATGAGGTGCATGACAATGCTGTACGATGGAGCGCCTCTAGTGCCTATATTTCGCCTTGACCAACCTGATGGCCGAGTGTCCATATACCAACCATCACGACGCGTAACTCTGAAAAAAATATGATAGCTAATATTCATAGCTTAAATTGCTTCAGGAGCCAAAACGAACTTAAGCCCACCAGTCATTATGTTCGTATATGTTTGCCCTATAGTTCGAAGGTTCTGTAATGACGAGCACATCGTCAGAAATTTGTTGATCACCGTCAGTCTGATTTGACGGAATGAGGATAGCAAGAGTGCCGCGGGTCTATGACCATTTTCTGCACTGCCAAGCGAAGGCAGATCTCATATTGTTTATCGCAGCCATCGTTTTTAGATCGCTACTAATTTTATGCATCAGTATTCAGCGTCAGATGAGGCTACTGAATTGGTTACCAGTGACAAGATTTCGTTCAGTGAAACGAGAACACCAATATACAAGGTTTGGATATGAAGTTTTGTTTCAGTTTTCTAAATCATAGCCGTTCAATTGGCGTTAGGATATTGTTTCCCCTTCATTTCTTGATATGTAGCCATCTTCTGGATTTTCAGTCGATTTTGTTCATAAATCTGTAAATCGTCTACTCTCTTTAAACGAACACAGCTTTACGAAAAGATTTCACTCTGTTGGTTTAGACGATTGTTCCCAGTCCTTTCGCCAGGGTCTGCAGTGAAAATGTTCCTTGCTTGCAGATCCATCGTAAAATATATAATGAGTTCTGCCGCAGTTAGCCTCAACGCAGAAATACTAAACAGTTGTTCCGGGGATTATGCAAGGTACTGTCGGCAACGTCACCATGGACCGTTCTATTCTGCGACTATTTTGTTTAGGCTCTGTCTCCCATCCGCCGGTAGAAAGAGAAAAGAGATCATTGAGGGCATTTTGGCAATTAATTAGCAAATGTGTGGCATTCTTGCATAAAAGCAAAATGGAATTATTCTTATTATATTATATCTCACATCCCTCTACGTGTCCTGACTGCTTGTCCTTACG